TACGCATGCTCAAATCACTTTCCACTGACTATGCAGTTTCGATAGTTGTCGACAACTAAACCAATGATTCCCCCAAAATTTAAAAAACAGTTTTTCCTTTCGAAAATGGAAACTGCTTAGTTGTCGATAACTGAAAAAAATAATGTTTAGCTGCTGACAACTCATCCCGCACACTACGTTTTTTAATTATCGTGAACATTTAGTTGTCGAGATTAACAAGTAGTTGTCGACAACGAAATTTTAACGGCCGTGGAGGCCCTAAAAAGCATTACAAAAGCCGAAGTTTTTCCCCTTTTAATTTTGTCAAGAAAATTGCAAAATGAAAAGCCATAAATCTATTTTCTGTGTCTACCTCATGTTTTTTCTTTTTTTTCTTTTTTTTTATTGGCGAAACGGAGTAGTTTCCTAAATGTATAATATTTTGAACAAATATTCTTTGACAGAATTCCTTTATGAATCTGTCAGCATTTTTCCGATTTTATTAATTAATTGACAGTGACAGAGAGAGCTTGTATTAATGGACTAACAAATCATGGAAGATCACAATTTAATGGCAAACTTTGAGAGCTATTTATTATGACAACACAAAAATACCTTGAATAAGGTGACATATCATATTACAGTTTCGTCTTTAAGTGTTTCAAGATTTTTTTCATCTCGCTCTCCGTCTTGTCCATTTGGTCTGTCTTCTAGAACGTTTGTGTGCTTTTCATAAAATATGACCAATTCAAAACAATGAGATGACGTCATTAAAAAGTTGGCTTTTCCGGCTTTAATACTTTTGTGCAGAATGTCTGACGTGAAATGCCATGCGAACCCCAAGTTGTCAATCAAAGTCCGGTTAGCTAAACAGCCAATCTTGAGTTGATGTAAACGGAAAAATTAAAAAACTTCCCCAGCCAAAAAGAGAAAAACCGATACTGATTTTATGTTAAATTGTAGGTTGTTAAAGTTTGCTTTCCGCTGGTAATTCTAATGCCTTGTGTTTACTCTAAAACCTGAATGTACTTTGAGTCTTTTGTTCAGTCTCCTTATCGCATATTTTGTAACCTGTCCTTTATTGAAGCGAATTTTAATTAAGGTGCAGTAAATACAGCTTTACGCTTCAGTCATTGAATGTCTCCATCTTATTCAAATGCAATTAAATGCGAAGGAAATTAGATTTCAAGTGATGACAGCGAAACAGGCAATAGCTGCTCTAGCGGTAGAGTTCGCCGTCGTCTTGTAAGATCGATGCAAGTGACCGTAAAGATGTGGCTGGTCTAACTGAAGTTCACAAGGAAAATACAATATCAAAATTTATTAATATCAAGACAATCAGATAAGGAGCCACTAAAATGCAGCACATGGCAGTCTTAGCCTCTTTTATTTGCCTCTTTCTATCGCGCGTCGACGATATCAGTGCAAGTTGCCCCAATAGATGGTCTCTAAATACCAATCGAACAATGGACAGGAGGATGTGGCGTCATGCCTTCAAGGTTATTCAGGGTGTTCTCTCGCCTTATCAGTGTGCAGATGCCTGTTTGAGGGATGCGAGGTGCAAGTCGTTCAATGATAAACGAAAACAAGACAAAAACGATGTTAACGAATGCGAGCTGAACGATGTCAAGTGGGAAGATACCAAGCCCGGGGAGGTGGGCAGAGAACCAGGGTCGGACCTATACGATGTTGACTTTGAACGCCTTCACGAGGTAAGCTTGTTGTACAAGGAGGTTCTAGCTTTTGAGTCTTTGGATAAATCCCTAAATTGTGGCCATTCAAATGAAAGCTATTGAGCAATACTTTAACGTGACACTGTTAATCAGATGTTGTCTAAGCTAAGGTGTCTGGTAGTAACTTTTTAGTCTTTGGATAAATCCCCGGACAATTTGAATGAAAGCTATTGAGCAGTACTTTCATGTGGTATTCTTTATTATCCTGTACAAGGTGGTTCCATCTTTAAGTCTTAGGATGAAGCCCTAGTACGAGATCGTAAAACGAAAGCCGGTTCAGTGAACAGTAGTACGTACGTAATTTCATGTGGTACTGTTTATTATGCTGTACAAGGCGAATTTAACTTTTAAGTCTGAGGATGGACTCCTTGCATTGTGTGCGACCATTCAAATGTCGCCGTTACCTAGTCGACCTACTTAACTATAGATTACTAGACTGGCATCGTGCAGCAATTTACTACTAATTTATAAACAGCAGAGCTAGGCAAGTCAATATTATAGCTTGGTTGTCTGGGTTTCAAGGCTTTTTGCTTCTGATTAAGACAATAATTCGTCTTACCAACTTCAACTTGATGGTGAGTGCAAACTGAGTACCTCTTACGCACTGCAAAAATGTCTTCTAGAGACTAATCTCCGTGATATTAGTTTATAGACTGTTTATTTTCCGATCTTTGAGACAGTGTATTCGAAATTCGAAGTCTACAGAAAAAAAGTCGAGTGCGCGTGCGCCCCAAGTGAAGATGACACTGTACGGCTGCTAAGAGACCTGACGCATGCCGAGAACAGCAAACTATACGGGCAAGATAGCCTTCGCGGTGTAGGTGTTGTGTTTTCTTTTTGGGTTGGTACGTTGTCACGACAGCTTAGTTGGAACTTTTTTCTAACTGTCACACTTCCGCGATAGCCTTAATTTAAGATAATTCAAAAATATTTCTTGAATTGTTTGTCATGTTTACCAGCCGTTTTTTTCAGAATATTACCTGGCATGGATTGCCAGTATCTGCCCAAAATACATGAAAAGAAGAACACCAGTTTTATTAACCCAGAAATATCGCAGATACGCCGTTCAATGCAGTGGGATAACGTTCAGAATTGCAGATTTTTCACGATATTTCGCGAAATCAAAACCGACTAAATTGACGTCGATTTAGGTTGATCTAAGGTCGATTTACAGTTGATTTACGGTTGATTCACTGACGGTTGATTTACGGTTGATTTATGGTTGATTTACGGTTGATTTACGGTTGATTTACGGTTGATTTACGGTTGATTTACGGTTGATTTTCGGTCGATTTAATTGATTTTCAGTCGTAATAAAATTATATCAGTGAGGTTTTATGAGTGTAATGTCGAAGGCCTTCAAGGATCCTGTTTAATTCCCGGTACGGTTTCAAATTAATGAAAACAAATAATAAGTTAATTCTTACCTGGGCATTACATAGCTCATAATCCGGCACAGGTTAAACACGTTTAATTTAAGACTTTCTGTTCAATTTTTGTATTACTATTGCAATTGTGTTCATTATTGCCATTGATATTTTTATTTTTCCCTATTTATATTCTGCTGCACGCTATGTTCACTTCAAACTGAAGATGGCAGAAATATCTGCCGAAACATGTTTGTTAAACTTAATAATGTCTTGTTTTTCTTTAAATTTAAATCCGGGAAACGCAGTCTCGACTATATGAGCCTATCATAGCAAGCGTTATACCTTGGCAGGCTCTGATGATTGATTTTTGATATGCTTATTTTGCAGATTCTTTTGTACTCAGGTGATTCATGTGACCATCAGGATTTAAGTTAGTTGCGTTAGTCCGGAATGAAGTTTTAATGTACATTTTGTGGCCTAAATAAACGTCTCTGCTTGACTTCAATGGTAACAGACCAGATACCACGGACTCTCTTATTCACGAACCATGAGCGATAATGTACGATGGAATCCCGATTTTTCGAACCTCTGAGGGAAACGAAAATTGGCTCGAAAAATCAGATATTTCGAGAAATCGGAGGCAAAATTTCAGTGTTCGACTGAAGAGAGGTAAACGACTTTATTTTTTGGTTCGATCGAGTTATCGGAAGGTTCGTACAAATGAGGGTTCGAGAAATCGGGATTCTACTGTATGTTAGAAATCCCATGACAAAATGCAACATTACTGACTATTAACAAGAATACTCCAGTCGTCGCGTGTGTTGTCTTTCGTAAGTAGTATTGATGTAAATAGCTTATATTATTATTTTCTTGTATATTTCCAGTGAAATATAATTTTTTTCTTTGTATTGTGTTAAACGAACTGTAACTTTGTTGTGTTGTTTCTGAATAAAAAGTGTAAAAAGCTTTACTCGGGCTCCATACCGCAATATTAGGTCGTACTTGACAAGAACGCTTATTGAACACGACAAAAACAAATAAAATAAATCAGGATGTTTTATTACAAGAGTTACGCTTGAATATTTACTATTCAAGTTGGTTCGCCGAGTATCCTCTTTATCCAATTGCTTGTTGTTTGCCTCATCTTCAAAGTTCTGTTTGCGACGATTCTTGATTTTTTCAACATCTGAGGCTTGTCAGTAGTCAGTAGCCTGTTTTTGTCATTATTTTCGTAGTTTGAACTCGTGCATGGCTCATTTGTTATCGCGTGAGAACGAGCATGAACTTGGCTTTCGTGGACCGTCCCGTTCCGAAAACAATCGACATCTTTGTATGTGAGATAAACGTATAAGGCGTGATTCTTTCCAAAGCTTTCTTCCGACAAAACACCGCATTTTGTATTTTACATTGCTCGCGATGTGTGAGCACACAGTAAAGAATTAAAGCAATCGTATCCTCAGTTCCCACGCTCTACGCTAGGAACGCCTGGGACCATGATCCCCC